TTAATACAAGTTTTGAGGTATTTTCATGAAGCTTGTGTTGTGTTTTTTCATTTCCAACTCTTATACCAATTTGACCTAGGTAAAGAGAAATCTCCTCTTGCTAAGAGGCTTGTAAAAGATGGAATTCCTTGGCAAAATTGTGTCACCTACTTAGTTTGAATTAGGGCAAACCTCTTAATGCGTATTAGCACCTTGAGTAGGTTGTATTTTGGTCGTCTGAACTATGATTTGAGGGTGAAGCCCAAGCAACCCATAGTCGATTGGCCAAGAGAGATAACTTTGTAGTTTGATTCGAAATCCCTTGGCCTTGCGACCGAGAGAGTGAAGTTTGGCCATTTGTTGCACTTCCCTACGGTTTACAACCGCTTTTACCACACATTTTCATTCGATCCGACAAATCATGATTACTAGCTAGTGGGGAGCAAAAGCGTAATGCTTCAATTCATATCTTGTAGTAAACTGAAAGTCCGGGTATCGTCTCTCAGGAATTAGTACAACCTTATGCTCTATGAATTCTATGGAGCAAACTATAGGTGAAAATAGTTTGAGTGAGCAAACTATTATCTAATAGCTCCAAACCGCGAAGCACCATAATGAAACGACGAACTTTTGCTCGACATCACGGTACAAGCGAAATGTTCATGGCCGTCAACTGGGACCATAAAATGTCGTCGATCAGGGTATATAAGAAGGGCTGAGCTAAAAGAGAATGAGGAGAGAACCTAGTGTGAGAAACTTCTTCTTCTGATTTCTAGAATGAGAAACTGATGAACAAGAGTAGAGGAGAAGTTAGGATTTCATTAAGAGCAAAGTTTTGGAAATTTCTTCCTCCAAGGTTGATATCCACACCACAAGGAAGAAGGCAAACATCATCAGATGGTTTTCTCTCTTCTCCCTCGTGTATCCATCTACTTAGCATGGAGTAGTCCTTTCTTTCACTTGGGTGTTTGTAAACCCTAGCTAGAATTATGTGAATATTTGTATGGATCGAATGACTTGTGTGTGGTTGCATTTTAATACAAGTTTTGAGGTATTTTCATGAAGCTTGTGTTGTGTTTTTTCATTTCCAACTCTTATACCAATTTGACCTAGGTAAAGGGAAATCTCCTCTTGCTAAGAGGCTTGTAAAAGATGGAATTCCTTGGCAAAATTGTGTCACCTACTTAGTTTGAATTAGGGCAAACCTCTTAATGCGTATTAGCACCTTGAGTAGGTTGTATTTTGGTCGTCCGAACTACGATTTGAGGGTGAAGCCCAAGCAACCCATAGTTGATTGGCCAAGAGAGATAACTTGGTAGTTTGATTCAAAATCCCTTGGCCTTGCGACCGAGAGAGTGAAGTTTGGCCATTTGTTGCACTTCCCTACGGTTTACAACCGCTTTTACCACACATTTTGATTCGATCCGACAAATCATGATTACTAGCTAGTGGGGAGAAAAAGCGTAATGCTTCAATTCATATCTTGTAGTAAACTGAAAGTCTAGGTATCGTCTCTCAGGAATTAGTACAACCTTATGTTCTATGAATTCTATGGAGCAAACTATAGGTGAAAATAGTTTGAGTGAGCAAACTATTATCTAATAGCTCCAAACCACGAAGCACCATAATGAAACGACGCGCTTTTGCTCGACATCACGGTACAAGCGAAATGTTCATGGCAGTCAACTGGGACCGTGAAATGTCGTTGATCACGGTATATAAGAAGGGATGAGCTGAAAGAGGAAGGGGAGAGAACCTAGTGTGAGAACTTCTTCTTCAGACTTCTAGAATGAGAAACTGATGAACAAGAGTAGAGGAGAAGTTAGGATTTCATTAAGAGCAAAGTTTTGGAAATTTCTTCCTCCAAGGTTGATCTCCACACCACAAGGAAGAAGGAAAACATCATCAAGATGGTTTTCTCTCTTCTCCCTCGCGTATCCCTCTACATAGCATGGAGTAGTCCTTTCTTTCACTTGGGTGTTTGTAAACCCTAGCTAGAATTATGTGAATGCTTGTATGGATCGAATGACTTGTGTGTGGTTGCATTTTAATACAAGTTTTGAGGTATTTTCATGAAGCTTGTGTTGTGTTTTTTCATTTCCAACTCTTATACCAATTTGACCTAGGTAAAGAGAAATCTCCTCTTGCTAAGAGGCTTGTAAAAGATGGAATTCCTTGGCAAAATTGTGTCACCTACTTAGTTTGAATTAGGGCAAACCTTTTAATGCGTATTAGCACCTTGAGTAGGTTGTATTTTGATCGTTCGAACTACAATTTGAGGGTGAACCCCAAGCAACCCATAGTCGATTGGTCAAGAGAGATAACTTGGTAGTTTGATTCCAAATCCCTTGGCCTTGTGACCGAGAGAGTGAAGTTTGGCCATTTGTTGCACTTCCCTACGGTTTACAACCGCTTTTACCACACATTTTCATTCGATCCGAAAAATCATGATTACTAGCTAATGGGAGCAACACCCGGGTGAAGTCTTCTCTATTAGTATTCAAACCATTTACTATTCCAATCGCTTTAGTTATAAACCATAGTTTTAACCAAAAACCAATTGCTAGAACCAAAAACCAATTGCTAGATATTGTTTCAAACAATTGAAGTAAGGGTACATGGCCTGCCCGAGTTTGACTTTTAAAACATAATTTCCCTATAGTGAACCCGGTTAAGGTTTATACTTGGGCCTTAATCGGGATTCTTATTATGATATTTGGGATGAGTCAAGTTTTTGGAGCCATTGCCGGGGAACTTCGGTCCATTATTTTGAAAAGATTGTTTGGTGCTAATCTAGCGTTTACTTTTTGTTTTGTGAGTGTGAATCTTACTTGTGTTAGACGAGTTGTGTTTCTTTGAAGTGTGTGCAGGAGGGTGCTGACCCGGAGTAATCCCACAACTTTGGCGTCACTAGACGAGAATCTCAACCCCACTCTCCGACTCTTGGCTCGTGAGAGGGAGCTGGTAGAAGCAAAGAGAAGGATAGAGGAGAGGGGACAACCTCAATTTGGTCCCAAAGTTGAAGGAGTTGTAGTTGAGGAAGATTTAGAATCAGAAAAGGAAGGAAGTGAAGCTGAGATGGCAGATAATCAAAATGCTCTAGATGGAGATGAGGAACCGAGGACCATGGGCTACTATATGGTTGCACGGGCAGATATCCAACCGACCATTTTGCATCCCCCCCGTGGCCACCAACAATTTCTAGATCAAGCCCGATCTCATCACAATGATCCAAAACAATGTGCAGTTCCATGGGCTTAAGGACGAGTCTCCGAAGGAGCATATCCAGAGGTTCATCGAGATTGCAGGAAGTTTAAAGATCAATGGAGTGCCCGAAGAGGCTATTCCCCTACTCTCTTGCGAGGAATGCACTCAGGTGGCTCAACAATAGATCACCCCTCTCGATTACCTAATGAGAAGACTTGCTCAACAAGTTCATGGCCCGATATTGTCCGCCTTCCAAGACGGCGGGGTGGCATAAGAAGATCACCCATTTCGCTCAAGAGGAGGACGAGACATTGAGGAACGCATGTGAGAGGTACTCAGACTTTTTCCTCCAATACCCACATCACGAATTTGGAGAGTAGTTTCGGACTGAGAGCTTCTAAGGCGGTCTCCTCCATGAAGACAAGATTCTCATTGGCTCTCTAGGTCAAGGGAAGTTGATGAACAAGACTCCAACTGAGATGAGCAAATTGCTTGAAGATATGGCGACAAAAGGGTATGATTGGGGCTTGATGAGACGTGGTGGAAGGGATGCCAAGAGATGAGTACACTCCCCAGAGGCGAGTCCTCCGCTTGCCGTAAATATTGATCAATTGATCAATGCACTTCTTGAAGATAAGAAGCAAGGGAGAAATCCGTTGATGGCATGTGATTGGTGTTCAAGTACCAACCATGAGATAGCGGAGTGCCACTTGATGAACGAAGCGGACGCTCCTTATGAGCAACTGCATTCCATCTCTTCCACATGTTTTGATAGGATGTCTTCTTTGGAGAAGCTAGTAACTACCTTCGCTAGTTCCAACTCGAACAAGTTTGAGAAAATAGAAAGGTTTATGGGGGGAGGCAACGGTGAAGTTCTCATCCATAGAGGCGGGGTTGCAAAGTCATCAATCAATCTTGACGACCTTGACCACAAGGATGGGGATAATTATCTCACAAGTGGATCTTTCTCGGAATCAACTTGATGAATCTGAGTTAGGAGCTGTGACCCTCCGTAGTGGGAGAGAAACCCGAGAAGTGCCCGTCCAGAGGAAGCCTACCAAGATGACGGAGTGAGTCGACCCCATCACCAACAAGAAGAAGCTGGAAGGGACGAACACCATGACACTAAATGAAGAGTGCTCAACCATCCTGCAGAACCATCTTCCTGCAAAGATCCAGAGAGTTTCACTATCCCTTGTTTTATTGTCAACATGTGCATAGGGAAGTCTTTGGCGGACATAGAGGCTAGAATTAACGTGATGCCTTATGGTGTGTTCAAAAAGTTAAATTTTTGGGAAATTTGGAAACACAACGATGCTCTAAGAAAGAATTCATAATACATCATTAACATACGCCAAACAATTCAAGCAGGGAGAAGGGTGGAATGAATTCTCCATTATGAAGCATGGCGAAGAAGGGGGAGATATTGAGAGAAGTAAATGTATCTATAAATAAGGTGCACTCACAAAACACACTCAGAAGGGTTGAGTTATTAAAAAAACATAGTTAAGTAACTGAAAGAGAATAAAAAACATGAACACCAAAATAACACTATGTAGTATGTACAATGGTCTAATTATTATAACAAACTTCAAGTTGAAATAAAGAAAAGGGTAATGTCTATTTTTTATCCAAACATTTTTCGAATTCTTTTATATTATTCAAACCTATTAAAATGCTATTAATTAGCCAAATCTTTCGTAATGCATAAAAATATTAGCCATTTTTACGTTATCTTTAATAAATTTCGAACTCTTTACTTAATTAAAATACTAAAATTTTGGAATGTTGACCTTCATGTGTCTCTTCCAAGCATGGTAAAGGAAACCGGATCGTACCGGCCGGTTCAACCGGTAAAACCGGGAATCCGACCAACAGCGAAACGATACCCTACCAGCCACCTTTCTATCGCGCCGGCCGATTTAATCGGCTTAACCGGCATGAACCGGTATACCGTCCGGTTTAAATCAGACCGGCGGGGCTGCCACTATGAAGGCACCCTCAAAGACAACAACAACGGCGGTGGCGGCGGGGCTGCACGCGAGTCGTCGGAGAGCACCATTGGGACAGGGGCGGCGGCGAAGAGCCAGAGCCAGAGTCAGAGTCAAAGCCGCGGCGGTGGTGGGTTTGGATTTGACTTCGATTTGAATCTGCCGGCCAGCCCTGATCTGGGATTGGCCATCGGCGGCGGCAGCGTGGTTCAGAAACCTTCCCGGAGGATCGACGGAGTAGTAGAAAACGAAGAAGTGGAGAGTCCTCTCCCCGGGAAGAAACCAAGATTGTCGCTCGGCGTACAAGTCACCACCGACCTGATTGGAAGTGTTTGGAATTCACAGTTGTAATAGAAAAGAAGTTGAGATCTGGGTTTATTTGGAAGGCTAAAGCTTTTAGCTACAAAGCTCTCCCAACCCAGAGAGAAAGGGGATTAATTTTCTGGTGATTGATGGAAAGACAGAGGGGCGGTGGAAAAGAAAGGGAGAAGATGGGGGCTCACGTGTTGTCTGTGATAGTGATTTAGGTTTAGGATTTTTATACTAATATATATATATATATTAAAGGTCAATTACTATATGGTACTCAAAATTGAATTATACACCAGTCATCAAATTCCTTACTCATTGCATTTTAGGCATGTGTTTTAATGATTATTACAAAAACGGTATTTACCGGTATGAAACGGTTGAACCACGGTCGTACCACAAAATACCCTACCAGAAAGGAATCCGGTTTGATGTCCGGTACGGTTTCCTTTACCATGCTTCCAAGTTAGTATCATGTTACCAAGTCAATATTACTAACAAAATTGCTAACTGAAAGTTAACATTTGATAATTCTTAGCATTTCGATAGGTTTGGATAATATAAAAAAAATCTGAAAAAAGTTTGGATAAAAGAATAGACATTACCCTAAAGAAAACACATAAGAAAGAAAAAAGGGGCCCATGATGTGTTCTTGTCCCATCTTCTTCAAGTTAGCAGCTCCAACAATTAGAAATCACGGCCTTGAACTTCACGCTTCAACCATGAACTCTTCATGGCCTTCGTCTTCTCAGCCGTGAACTTGCCCGGTGCTCTGATTGTGATCTTCTGTTTTGACCCCTTTTTGCACACTTTCTCTACACTTGAGCTTGGGTTCTTTGACGTAAACACTTAAAACTTGAAATGACACTTAAAACACTACCAAAACACAAGAAGAAGCATTTCTAGGACAAATCAAGAGTTAATTAAGAAACAGGATCGAGTCCCGAAGTCGTCAACAGAAGCAGAGTACCGGTCTATGTCTGAGGTGAGTTCTGAAATGGTATGGCTTCATCGATTACTTGGAGAATTGGGTGTTGCTTGTCGAGTCCCAATGAGAATATATGGGGATAACACGAGTGCAATCCAGATTGCTGTTAATCCGGTGCTGCATGATAGAACTAAGCACATCGAGGTGCATGTTCATTATATTAGACAATTAGTGGCTGAAGGAGTTATTCAGATTGGGTATCTCTCAACTGAAGATCAGACTGCAGATTTGCTTACGAAGGCGGTTGCTTAAAGTAGGCATTGGTACCTGTCTTCCAAATTGATGTTGCGTACCGCACATCAATTTGAGGGAGGGTGTTGATTTGTATTGTTGAGGTACCATTATGTAATTAGCCACTAAATTGTCTAGGTTTATGTTTCCCCTATATTAAGCCGATCACAGCTAAACCCTTGTACTGAAGTCATATTGTTTATAGTGAAGCTTTTGGAGAGGACAGTCTCTCCCGTGGATTAGTCCTGAGATTCAGGGATACCACGTTAAAATCGTGTGTCGTTCTTCTAGTTTCGTACTATTTGACATGGTATCAGAGCCTCTGCTCTAAAAGGTTGGTTCTTCTCTTCGTTTGTTCCGTTCGGCGGATTGGAATACGGCTGCGTAGGGTTTTGTTCATTGGCTGCGTTCGTTTTGGGTTGTGGCTGCGTTCGGTTTTGTTATTTGTGGCAGCGTTGGTTTGGCAGCACCAATTTGGTTCGTCTGCTGCGTGGGGTTCCTTTGCTGCGTGGGTACATTCTTGGGTTAGCAGGGCTTGTTTTTTGTGTTTCGACTGCAGGGTGCTTGGTTTGTGGCAGGGTGTTTGTTTTTTGGCTTCTTGCAGCGGGTGATTGTTCTTATCTCTGTCCGGTTTGGTGCACCTGTTGGTTGCTTGGATCCTTTTTTGCTGCTACGTTCCATGGCTTCTTCTCGTGGGGATTCGGTCTCGATCAGATTTGATGGCACTAACTTTGCCTTATGGGAATTCCAGTTTCGGAATTTTGTCGCCGGGAAACGTCTTCTTCCTGTGTTGATAGGTGAGCTTAAGGAACCGGCTGCTACTGCAGATGAGAAGGTAGTGGAGGACTGGATGCGGCTATTGCTCAACTTATCACATGGCTGGTTGATTGTGTTGACGTTCCCACTGCCCTCAGTCTACGTCGATTCACTAAAGCGCATGATATGTGGACTCACATTTGTCGTACTTATGCTCAGACTAATGCGTCTCGGCAGTTCGAGTTGGAGACTGCAATTTCTAGACTGGCACAGGGAGATAAGGATATTCGTGGCTATTATCAGGCTTGTCTCCATCTCTGGACTGAGTATGATCTGTTAACTGCGTCTTTGGTTCCCGATGCAGCATCTGCGGCTGTGACTGCGGAACGTGCTCGTACGCGTGTTTTCCGGTTTTTAGCTCAACTTCGATCAGAATATGAGCCCATTCGGGCCTCGTTGATCCATCGGGGTGTCACGAGTATTGATGATGTTGTGGCTGAACTTATGCGAGAGGAGACACGCCTGAAGAGTCAGTCACAACTTGATAACTCAGCTTCCTTCACCGAGTCGGCCTTTGCTGTTGGCCGCCCTGCCGCGGCATCTCGCCCGCAGTTTGCTCCTCCTAGTTCGGGTGATGTCATTTGTCACTATTGTAAAGAGGCTGGACATGTTCAAATCCACTGTAAGAAGCGGAACTATTGTAATTACTGTAAGCGGTCAGGTCATATCGTGCTCGCTTGCCCGACGTTGAGCAGGAAGGGACGTCTGCGCCCAGCCCCAGGGAGTGTTGCTGCTCCTCGTGGTACCGCTTACCCAGTTACTCTAGGTTCGATTCCTACTGCTGCCCCTCCTGGTGCGAGTACTGCAACTCCCATGATGGCGGAGCAGATCCAGCGGATGGTCCAGGAGGCTCTACAGGTTGTCCTTTCTTCTGCATTTGCCGCGGGTACTTCGTCTGGTAAGTCTTTGCGTTGGCTTTTAGACTCCGCAGCGTTTAACCATATGACCCCTGATCGTACGGTGTTTAAGTCTTTATGTCCCGTTTCCACTATGAATCTGCAAGTGGCCAATGGGGCACAGATTCCTATTTATGGGTCAGGCACGGTTCATACAACCTCCATTGATCTTCCCGACACTTTATATGTTCCTAAGCTGCATCCTAATCTGATCTCGGTGGGTCAATTGGCTGATGAAGGATGTAGTGTCAAGTTTGACTCTACTGGTTGTGTTGTGCAGGAGCAGAAGTCGGGGAGGGTGATCGGGAGAGGCAGTAAGCATGGCCGAACATTTGTACTTGATGCCTTGACGGGGCGGGACGTGAAGGCTGCTAGGGTGTCTACCTCGCCGTTCGGGAGTGACAGTGAGGGTGGTGCCCTCTCGCTGGGGTCTCATGCAAGTGTGGGGGAAGGGAAATTTTGTCATAAGGATTTGTGTAATGGTTTTTCAGCTTTAAGTTCGGATATTTCTGTTGGTCATTCGGTATGGGATTTGTGGCACAGTCGGCTTGGTCATCCTCATTCAGAGAGGTTGAAAGTTATGTTTAAGCAGAATTTATTACCAGATCAGTTGAATTTGTCAAAGTTTGATGGGATTTCTGATTGTGTGAGTTGTATAGAGGCCAAAGCCTCGCAGTCATCTTTCTCTTCGAGTGATACTGAATATGCAGAACCATTTGACTTGATTCATACAGATCTCTGGGGGCTGTCTCCCGTTCTTTCTCGGTTGGGGTACATATATTTTGCCTTATTTATTGATCACACTACTCCGTTTACATGGGTATACTTTCTGAAGCAAAAATCTGAGTTAACCTCTCTAGCTCGTGAGTTCATTGCCATGGTCAAAACTCAGTTTGGTAAGACGATAAAAGTGCTTTGGTCTGATCCTGGAGGGGAGTTCTCTTCTAATGAACTCTCTGGGATCTTCAAGACAGAGGGAATTCTGCCGCAACAGTCCTGTCCCGGTGTGTCACAACAAAATGGCGTAGTGGAACGTAAGAATCGTCACGTGTTAGAGCTGACCCGTGCCATTCTTTTTCACTCTCGTGTTCCTATTAGCTTCTGGGTAGAGGCTGTTCACACAGTCGTGTATTTGATTAATCGTCAAATCACGTCAGTTTTGGGCCAAAAGTCTCCATATCAGCTGCTGTACTTGAAGTCTCCAGACTATTCCTTTCTCCGGGTTTTTGGATGTACCTGTTTTGTTCTACTCCAGCGAAAGGAACGTCACAAACTAGCTCCTAAAGTCGTTCGTAGTGTGTTTGTTGGCTACAGCGACAAGCACAAGGGTTACATGTGTTATGATCCCATTGGTCGTCGTATGCGCATTGCTCATCACGTCAAGTTTTTTGAGAAGGAAATGTACTATCGGGACACTCATGCCGAGGCTAGCACTGCTGCTTCGCTCGAATTTTTGACCTCTCTGCCAACATTCGAGCCAGTGCAGCTCTCTCCTTCGCAGAATGACATCATTGTATCTGTTGGGTCAAGTTCGGACAGTGGCTCTTCATCTCCGGGCAGTCCTTCGACCACTAGCTCAACAGATGGTAACTCGTCCAGCAGCTCCATATCGCCTGGCAGCTCTTCTTCTTCGGCCTCCTCCTCATCTTCTACCTCTCGTTCCTCTTCTGCGTCGCAATCATCCTCGGAGGGGGACTTAATGGGTTCGTCGGTGGCTGGGAATGCGCCTTCACCTGTTCAAGCTCTTGTGCCTTTACGTCGATCCACTCGGGCGACGTTGGGTAAACCACCAGTTCGCATGCAGGACTTTGTGGGGTTTTCCGTTGCTCCGGTGATTATTCCCACTAGCTATTCTGAGGCTTCCAAGGACCCTCGCTGGAATGCTTCGATGAAGGTTGAAATGGACGCATTAGAAGAGAATGGAACTTGGGAGCTGGTGCCTCGACAGGATTGGATGTCAGTCATTGGAAGCAGGTGGGTGTATAATGTGAAGATGAATCCCGATGGGTCTATCGAGCGTTTCAAATCAAGAGTGGTAGCTCAGGGATTTAAGCAAGAGTATGGTATTGACTACGATGAAACATTTGCGCCGGTGGTGAAGATGCAGACAG